AAATCTGTCAAAGTTAGCCGAAAATCGGCCGAAAATCGGCTAAAATGCTCACTGTGCAAGTGGCGCTGGCGGTCATTGTGTTCCCAGAATTGATAGGTACTCAATGCATGCATTAATGTTCGGCCCCGGTATTGGGAGCTGACTATTTCTCATCATTTTTGGCTAGCTATAATTTCGTGCACGTGGGAAAGTCCCGCGTTATTTACAACGTTATTTACAATGTACATGTATTATATTCTTCATATAATCAGACTGCGTTGATTTTTTTCTATTAAGGCCGACAGTATAAATGAAATAAACTACTAAAAAAGAACAAACATTGTTTTCACAATATATAATGTTACTAAATATGGATAAGTACCTTTGAACACCTACTTTCACCAAACAATTACTTTCGTGAATTTCATGAGTCAGTGTTTTTTTGTCACGTCACTCTATGCCGTTCGTCAAGATATATTTGATAAAATCAATCATTTTGATTGCGTTACCTTATCACCACATAAAGGTTATTGTTGATTTTTTTTATGTTTTTTTTTAGAAACAAAGAGCAACTTTTTAACCTGATTTGTGATCCCATTTTCCGGCCCAAAAAAATCTTTCAAAATGGTTCCAGTTTTTTTTTCAGACCGTACGTACCCGTGCGCCGTCCGATTGGATCTGCTTCTGGACGAAGTTCCAGTGATCCGGACTGCATGGCTTCCCTGCACTCAATATTTTGAACCAGCGGAATGGACTTACCTGTTTCAGTTCATTTCTTCAACCATGTTTTATTAGCATAATACGAGATTTTAAGTTCCAGCATAATTTATATCATCGTCAAAAACTAATCACAATATTATATTAAACTGAACAGAATCGTTTTTTTCAACGTCGCCGTCAGCATTCGGTGTGAATCCTTAATCATTTTTTAATTCGTGTTTTTACATTCAGTTTTTCCCTGCAATCGTGTTTCCTTCAACTGAATTTTCAACAGGCTAGTGCTTGCGCACTAGCCTTCCTAAAAAATATTAGGAAGTTGTCCCAATGTCCGTTAATGTTTTTGATTAACTTTTGCATTGAAAAAAAAACATCGCTATTTCACATGCCACTTATCAAAACCTTTCGCCGCTCGCGCTCGCGAACATTAATCTCTCAAATAAACCCCAATATATTTTGGGCACGCATGTTCGCTGACTTCACGTTATTAGACGTCCAAGTGCTGTGAATTATTCAGTACGAACATTAACATAACAAAGGCGCAGGTTTCGTGCTACCTCATTAACTTGACCACGGATGGATGAGTAGCTCCGCGAAGTTCGCGAACTGCTCTGCTCTAAGATATTCGCGAACATTCGCGAACAGTTCGCGAAGTCTATTTTGAAGCCTGCCCTAAATTATCTGAAGCCCCCCCCCCCTAAAAAATCACACCCCTCCCTAAAACACACCCAGTGAGTATTGAAATCCACCAGCAACCATTATCCTGTGAATTATCTGAGCCCCGCCACAATTAAAAAACACCTAACAAAACACCAGCAACTACCCGATATTATACTGACATGAATTATCTGAGCCCCGCCACAAATAAAAAACACCTAACAAAACACCAGCAACTACCCGATATTATACCGACATGAATTATCTGAGCCCCCCCCCCCAAAAAAAAAACATGGAGGGAATATTGTAATCCACAATGCATTTACAATGAGTGGTACCTCTCATTGACTGTCCCACGGGTCAAAACCAGACGACTGATTTTGATCCACCTCTCATTGACTGTCCCACAGTGCATTCACAATGAGTGGTACCTCTCATGACTGTCCCACGGGTCAAAACCAGTCCACTGATTTTGACCCGCCTCTCATTGACTGTCCCACAGTGCATTTACAATGAGTGGTACCTCTCATTGACTGTCCCACGGGTCAAAACCAGTGGACTGATTTTGACCCGCCTCTCATTGACTGTCCCACAGTGCATTCACAATGAGTGGTACCTGTCATTGACTGTCCCATGGGTCAAAACCAGTCAACTGATTTTGACCCGCCTCTCATTGACTGTCCCACAGTGCATTCACAATGAGTGGTACCTCTCATGACTGTCCCACGGGTCAAAACCAGACGACTGATTTTGACCCGCCTCTCATTGACTGTCCCACAGTGCATTCACAATGAGTGGTACCTCTCATTGACTGTCCCATGGGTCAAAACCAGTCGACTGGTTTTGACCCACCTCTCATTGACTGTCCCACAGTGCATTCACAATGAGTGGTACCTCTCATTGACTGTCCCATGGGTCAAAACCAGACGACTGAGTTTGACCCGCCTCTCATTGACTGTCCCATAGTGCATTCACAATGAGTGGTACCTCTCATTGACTGTCCCACGGGTCAAAACCAGTCGACTGATTTTGACCTGCCTCTCATTGACTGTCCCACAGTGCATTCACAATGAGTGGTACCTCTCATTGACTGTCCCACGGGTCAAAACCAGACGACTGATTTTGACCCACCTCTCATATTGACTGTCTCTCAGTGCATTCACAATGAGTGGCTGGTATTGTCAAACAGCTGTGGCTACTGTGTGGTTGTTGATTGTTGTAGTGACCTGATAAAGTATTGTCTGCAAGTGGCTGGTATTGTCAAACAGCTGTGGCTACTGTGTGGCTGTTGATTGTTGTATTGACCTGATAAAGTATTGTCTGCAAGTGGCAGGCATTGTCAAACACCGAATCGAAAGGAGATGTAGAGGGCATACTTCAAGTAGGACACACGGCAGTTCCACATGCATAGCGCGCACACACACAAAGGTTCTGTATGCGTTAGTTCTGTATTTGTGAACTCCAATGATGCCGGTGACGTCACACAACATGGCGCCGTCCACATACTAAAAAAACATCGATGTTTCGTCCCAAATAATGTCAAAATTATACACTTTAGAAATACGTTTTATTATCATAAATGACAGGCAATGACGGGATATGATGTTTTCTTTAGGAAATAAATGAGAAAGGGGTATAATTTATATGCCAAGGTGTGTTTTAGGGGAATATTCGCCAACATTTTTGCAATGCGGGATGAATTTATTCGCGTATCGAAGACTTTTAAAAGCCCTTCAAGAAAAGCGAAACGCAGTTTTTCAGAAGAAATCTTTATGTTGATACGATTATTCAGTTATGAAAAAAGCCAAATCATACTTTTTCTTGGTCGGGTCGACATTTTAAAATAAAATATAGACGTTGAAAGTCAGACTACAATTCCAAAGCTTCGCTGAGAATTCGGGCTGCTGCATCGCTGGTTCATGATCTAGTATCCCACTAATACATGCAAACTGGCGCGCGGGTACCAACTGGCCTAGTGCCGCGTGTGTTGTGTACACAAAAGCGCCGTACAACGTGTACACATGTACATATGTGTACGTAAAACCTTCGCATTTTACAGACAATCGCAAGACATTGAATACAATTTAAAAATACATAAAATGCAAAACAGATTACATAGAAATAAAGAACCATCTGTCTTTAGATGAAAACACTCACTTTGGACAAAATAAACACACAATCCGAAATTCACAAATGTTTAGTGTTGTACAGTGAGTGAGTGTTGTACAGCATATTAAAGCAGCACAATCCAAAACCAAGCATGAATTTGCCATCAGTATGAGACACTCTATCCTCTTAATATTCTGGGGGAAGTTGCTGACAATTAATTGGATCTATAGCTTAAACAAAACAATAACAAATAGGTTTTTGTTTGGCAATAAACGCATTCTTTATTTCACAACCAATCCATATCATTTTAAAAAAAAGAAGTTTCATTTACAGAAGTGAAACTTCACAACAGCCATATTTTACAAGTAAATAAATTGCACATGTAATGCAGGCATGGACTCAACCAGTGAAATCAGGTTTGGCAAGTGATAAAACTATGAAAAGTCTGAAAAATTAAATAGGGTAGTTGCAGTTGATTCAAGAAAGTGATTCAAAAATTCAACTTTATGAAAGGGTAAATGGATTTAAGCATACCCTCACACCTGAAGACAGTAAAGGCTTTTTTTAATATTTATTTATTATTAATATTTTGTTGGAGAATGGAGCTTGCAGTTCAACTGCACTATGTCATAAGTGGTGGTGATGGCAATTTCAGGTTTCAAATTTTCGCTTCATTAAAATTTCACATACGTACGTGTACACGTACCTGGATGACTTGCACCAGATTTACAAAGCACATCACTTCACAATTTGATGCAAACACAGTCCACTGTGAAGTTCTTTTCCAGTGTGAATGCATCATACATCGTCAATTTTGTTAAATATTTTAAAAAAGTTTTCACAAGTACAATTGACGACTCTTTGTTGACTTTTCAACGACTATTTACTGTTCTTTGAATAAATACATAACATGAAAATACATGTACATGTACATGTAGTCACCTTTTGTCCTTTGAATACACTACGACGTGTCACACTTACAGCATATTTTGTGAAATGAATCACAGGATGCGTCATCCTAGGGATACAACGATGCATCGTTGGTTACAATAAGTGTCGTGAAATCAGGTACAGATTGTCACCGTCACTACGAACAACACTCTCGCATCCGTGTGTGCACTGTACGCGCGCGTGTTTACAGATCCGGGATATTTTGGGTTTTACGAACTGACATCCGCCACAGTGCGGCACTTTTAGAGCGCACCCCGTACATTTTTGTTTTCACGAACTGACACCCAAGCATGATGCGGCAATACATCTATCCGTGTACTTGTGCGATTATACATGTACAAATTTTTCATTAAAAAGCGATTTAATTGGTAAAATTAAGATCAGTGTCAGTTCGTGAAACCGAAAATGCATGGGTGCGCTCTAAAAGTGTCGCACTGTGGGGGATGTCAGTTATCTCCTAAATTCCCAAACTATCTCAATTCTCTCACCCCCCCCCCCCCCCCCCCCCCCCCCCCCCCCCCCCGGCAGTAAGATTTTCATTTTTATATGAAATGTTTACGTCAACTATGTTATTCAAGCATCTGTGACAGGGAGGCAGCGAACAGACTACACCTACCACTCCCAATTCAGATCACACTAAAAATACATGTACATGTACTCCACACCATGGACTATTTAGAAAGGTTCAGAGTGGGGGTTGGGCTGTTTGAATGAACATGGCCATGTCATGGCATGGTCAGGAACTGATACGGAGTTCAATCGCAATGGGTGGGTAGTACAGATCAGATGCGGAGGAATCCAAAGCTCGTCCATTATACGCGGCCATGCATGTCGTTGCCATCTTCAATCCAGAAATAGGAAGAAACTCTTCAAAACCTGAAAGCACAACAAGAATATAACAAATGGAACAAAGTTAATGGGATACTTTGAGATGCATGGTGGCAGCAAATACACCAGTCCTTTTCTGGTGTTGACGTCAATTTGAACATGTGCACATTAGTTTAAATGTGACGTAAAAAAAATGAAAAGGACAGGTAAAAGGAAGCGTCTCAAAAGTCTCTGTTGAAAATTATTGCCAGGTTATTTTCAAGATTTTTGTCTGTGCCTTATCTTAAACAACTTTGCTGGGATTTTTCTTGCATTGAATATGAGTGTTAAAAACTATAGAAGATAAGAAAGTTTCATATTTTATCTTTTTCTATAGGCACAGACATACATGTAAACATGTACTTGTACATGTACATGATGTATGTACATGCATGTACATACATGCCATGATCAATTTCTAAGTAAAATAATATCAAGATGCTCACCGATGAAAGTTGTCAAATTTTCTGAAGGTATCCTTCGTCAGGGCAGGGTACGTCATCTGCTTGTCATGGTGGAATGCCGTACACTCCGCATAAGAAGAAATGTAGGCCAACCTCCTCCACAGCGTCCGAGAGACAACCAATAGGTCTAGATGGCAAATTAAAGTACACATTCAAGTTCTTGTACAGTTACGTGACTTTTGTGTTTTTACACAACAAGAACAAGAGCATGCATTACATGGGTTTGGAGTAAACTCGGTACCCAACAACCACAAGACTGTTACCGACTTGGTCCCTAACTGACGGGGTCTGACCGTCTGAGACAGCATGACCAACTCAGTTCCAGGTCAACTTGGTCCCTGGTACAAATGTATAAAGTCGGTCCAATGTTAACTATTAAAGTCTGAAGTCATTTTAGTCCCAGGTCAAATTTGAAATTAATGGAAAAAATACTCTACAATTATATGACTGAGGGCGAAAAAGAAAAGCCTAATGACGGCCCTGGCAATGTAACCTACATGTAGGGCCTACATGTCAAATCCTTTGTTTACGCATTTAGAACATACAGTACACAGTTTCCTTGAGAAGTTTTCAAGAACATTAATTAAATGAGCAATGTCAGGCTCCTGCCTGCAAAGAATGACCTCCATTCCTCCATCATCATGTTCCTGCATGATGCATGCCAGCAAATCCTGACCACGCTGACTATACATGAAATGTCAAAATCATATTGAAATTGGAGGATTCAGGACTGTTAGGATTAAGGAATGCATTGTGATTATTTATTATGAATACGATTTTCTGGGAAACTGCAACTAGCAAGGCACACTGGGCAGAAATATTTCTTAGATGAAAGTCTTCTACATACACGAGTCATTGCGTCGTCCAAAAGTGCGTGCTGTGGGATAGCTCAAGGCGCCTACACTACGACTGTTTCATGTACGACATTACTGTAATGACTTCCTGTCATGGCGCGGCGTACGTACACAAAATCCTTGTGTCGCAGGCTAAAAACAAGGAGAAACTACAAAAAATACATCTTCTGAGCAGAGTAAATACATAATCTGTAGGCTTACCTTTGAGATTTCCGTCTGAATCTCCGAAATTATGCCAAAACATGGCCTCGAAGGTCCCCACTCGTCACGCCATGACACTGCATGTACACTTCGTACGTCGCGACTTGACGAATTCCTGTTTTATTCACCCTCAGTATTGGCTAAAATCTCACGAAAGCATGTCGACCCAAACCTTTCATCCATATCAATGTGAACCTAGATAACCCATTTATTGATAGATTGACCAAGTATGCGTCACAAAACTGCATTTTACTTTAAAAATGATGTTTTCTCGAAGTGGAAATGACGGCACGAAAACGCTTAATCGTACCAGGTCACAAGTCACACGCTGCATAAAAAACACACATTATCAGAATTTGTGCACGCTATATGGCAACTGTCGACCGTACATAGCTTCATTGATGTTTTGTAGAGCCTTATTTGGTAATCTGTTGCATATTCATTTTAATAAACCAATCAATCTTTATATTTGTCGCGGGGTATTTAAATCCACCAACGAAACAAAGGGATCGCTGCGCGTAATGTTTATTTACATCGCGCTAGATTGTCACGTGGTATTACCACTAACTCCATCTCGCCAACAGAGGGCGTACTTTTTTATGCGTGAAACTGCCGTGTTCTTGATGCATCCTGTTCATATGCATTGCAACCGTTAACTGACTTAAATTGTGTTCCAGATGAATTTTGTTCGTTCCGTTCTTCTTTTAACTCAAACATATTCTGAATCCACACCGCCCCCCATTAATGGATCTTTTTCTCACTCTTCAACAGTGAACAACTTTATTTACCGTGTGGAACGTCATCCCACCTCATGAATGGACTCCACCGTGACTACGCTTCTTGAGAGGTTGATATTAGCAGTGTTTTCAGCAGACTCTAAGGCCTGGATCTCGATTGGATTGAGCGCTTGAACACTTGAACACTTGACCCGAGTTGACGACCCCAAGGCCTTGACCCAATGGTGCGGACCCACGGAATTGGCCTGAGTCTTTGGCCCACGGCCATGCTCCGAGTATGTGGCGGTTGACGGTTGTCGTCACACGGACTGGCCCGAGTCATCGACCATGCCTTGACCCGAGGTGCCAAGCTACGGACTTGACCAGAGCCGTCAACTCGCGACCTTGTGCAACTTGAACACTTGAACACTTGACCCGAGTTGATGTCCCCAAGGCCTTGACCCAATGGTGCGGACCCACGGAATTGGCCTGAGTCTTTAGCCAACGGCCATGCTCCGAGTAAGTGGCGGCCCACGGAACGGGCCCGAGTCGTCCATCGGCTCACGGCCTTTCTCCGGGGTGTCGTCCCACGGACTTGCTCGAGTCGTCGGCCCACGGCCTTGCGCTGGGGTGTCGTCCTACGGACTGGCCCGAGTCATCGACCATGCCTTTACCCGAGGTGCCGAGCTACGGACTTGACCAGAGCCGTCAACCCGCGGCCTTGTGACCACTACCGTGAATGCTCTTTGGAATTCTTGTGGTGAGTTTTATTTTAGAAACAAAAAGAGACCTGTATATGAAGAAATGTGATTCCTCGGGTGGTATTTTAACACCCCCCCATGCAAAATATACAGTGCTTGATTTCCTATCAAAATATGTATTCAAAGTTTGCATTAAACTCGTTCTCAAATGCTATACTTTTCATTTCGAAAATTTCAGTAAAAACTGATTGTGTATGTCTTTGAAATGTTAGTATGAAATGGTGTACATAATAGATTTTGATTATTTTAACGATGGCTTTTTGTAATTTGTCCGGCAGTAACCGCGCGGCCATTGCTACCCTATTGTATCTTGTTCGATCCTGGCAAATGTTAGCCAGGTTTTAGGCCCTTCAGTTTTCTCTGGTGCAAGGGGAATACCCAGCTTATTACTCAGTGTTTGAAATCCGACCAAATCATGCACACCCTGTTGATGAGATGTTGAAATGATTAGAAAATCATCCAGAATATGGACTATTCCAGAATAAATGGTTAACACTTTATATCTAGTTTAGATGGCACACATCCTGGGCCCACTTTCTTCAAAATTTGTATTGCGTCCTCCGTTGACGCATACTTGACTGTTGTGTTGCAATCTGGTATTCCATCGTTTACGGAACCATGTTTAGGATGAGACAAATGATGAATTATTCAAAATGAACCAGGCTGTCTTTTAGGAACTAAACCAATCGAGCTAACGCAAAAATTATCAAGTGGCAAGTCTTGGAACGGCCCTGCGAGCCTACCTTGTCTAAGTTCTAACCCTAGTTTTTCAGAAACCACTTTTGGATTTTGAGGAGCAGATTTTAAATTTGTTGATGTCCTAAATTTTTGATTGCCTGTAAAACCTAAAAACCAATTGTAAAACCGTGAATTGAGAATTTGTACTTATTGCCATCATAGCCTTGTAACATGGTTTGAAGCACATCTTTATTTACTGGTGTTATTGGTTTGTCCTGGGATAAATGAGGTCTGTCCCCTTCCTGTTCTGCTTTTAGGCTGTGTATAGGCCTCCTCTTAACAGGAACAATCAAGTCACAGAACAAATTTAAATGGGCGATCTGACTCTGTTATTATGTTTATCCACAAATGAGTTCTGGTAGCAGGGCTTTGCTTTGTGGGGTTAATTCAATGCTTTCTTTCCCCTTTAGAGCCCTGGCACGAATACAGCTCAATAATTCAAATTTTTCCTTTCGTTATTTGAATCCTTTCAGCAAAGTGAGGACCACTGACTGATGAGGGAATTGCTCTACTGAGATGAGGATGAGCCTGCCTCAAGACATTGTCAGGGCTCCGACATCCTCATCAAACAGAAACCCGAGGAACCGGAAGCAGGGAGGAGGACCGACAGATGAATGGATGACCTGCTTGCTGGGCTACCCATTACTGATTCTTGAGGTTAGTTTTTAGTTACATGTACCTAAAGAATAAGCAGAAACAAGTAATCAAAAAGGAGTGATCTGCCACTCTTCTATGTTCTCCCACAAATAAAGAGTGCTGGTAGTGGGGCACTGCTTTGTGGGGTTAATTCGAACATTTCTTCCCCCCCCACCTCTTGCTCTACCTTTCAGATATTTCTTAATAATGATAACCCAGTCAAAACCTAGAAAACTCAGAGTCATTGTGAAGATGTACCCTGGAGGAATGCTATCAGTCAAAACCTAGAAAACTCAGAGTCGTTGTGAAGAATTATTTGATATTTTATAATGAGGATTTAAACGTACATACAGACTGGACATTTGTCACAAAATGTCTCTCCCTGTTTATACATTACCCTAATCACATCATAAATTTGAAGCCATTTTGAAAACTGATATTCTCGTTTGACAACAATGTAAAATGGCTTAATAATGTAACTGGAAGTGCCTATTAGAAACTGATTTTGTCCTAAGCACCTTTTTCCTAGCAGTGAAAAAAAAGAGATAAAATACTAGCTCATCTTTTACCTTTATATGCAACATCCATAAACTTATGTGATTGGCCCATTAGAACCCTCCGATGCAAACATGCATACTCAGCCATGCTGTTACTCGGGTCAAAATCAGTCAGGTGACCGTTTTTGACCCGATGGAATTCTATGCATAGAACTACATTATTGGCCCGTTTTGACTGCTTAAGTAACTGGCCATGAGAATGACTTGACCAACTGTGACCCATAGAACAGTTGTTGATAATGAATATTTGCTGACTGTTATTGACTCGTTAAAGTACTGTCATAGTCAGTTAGTTGCTGGTATTAACTGTTTGAAACATGATCCCTGTCAAAACAGCTGTGGGTGCTAAATTGCTGTTGACTGTTTTTGACTTGACAGTCCTTCTGATTTGAAAATCACAGGCGTGTGGAAAAAGGCACACCTGGACTTTTCGAGGTGTGTATTTTTTCTAGGTGTGTGATTTTCTAGGTGTGTGATCTGTGGTCCAGGGAAATTCAGGCATGCAATTGTTCACACTTCGCGGAAAGCTTTTAGGTGTGCGATGGTGTGGGGGTGTGATCGCACGCCTCAAATCAGAAGGACTGACTTGACAAAGTGCTGTCCACAGTTGGTGTTTGGTATTGACTGAAACATGATCCCTGTCAAAAAATCCCCCCCCCTCGAAAACCCCCCCCCCCCCCCCAGCTATTACCCTGTTTTCAAATGCCAAGCAATTGGAAGCAGAACTTTTTGGGTGGGTGCCTATTGGTATTGTCAGCAATTGGTAAGTGGCTGGCATTGTCAAACAGCTGTGGCTACTGTGTGGCTGTTGATTGTTGTATTGACCAGATAAAGTATTGTCTGCAAGTGGCTACTGTGTGGCTGTTGATTGTTGTATTGACCTGATTAAGTATTGTCTGCAAGTGGCAGGCATTGTGAAACAGCTGTGGCTACTGTGTGGCTGTTGATTGTTGTATTGACAGAGTTGCTGACTCGAGTCATGTGACTTGGACTCGAGTCGGACTCGAGTCGCTATTTTTGTGACTTGTGACTTGACTTGTACATACCAGCTTTGACTTGTGACTTGACTTGGACTTGCGAACAATGACTTGTGACTTGACTTGGGATTGCAAAAAATGACTTGTTACCAACCCATTGCCTTTGTCAATTGCATGTAAAATACCGGATAGCCTAACCCATTGGTAGGCGTTTAGTATACATGAAAATTGAACAATAAAGTGTTAGTATACTTCATGTAATCGAGTGAGTGAAGTCTTTTTTTCATGTCATCCCAACATTTATTTCTACAATGTAAAGTAATTTATTAAAGTATACAAAGGGCTAATAACCGACAGATATGTGATAAACTACAAGAATAGTAATGGCAACACATTGAAAAAGGGGAATTAAGGAGGCATGTTCAAAATAACTCGTAAGTTGACGCCAGGTTCTTATTACAGCTGGACAAAATAATGAGCAACTTGACGTGTTCTTGGACAAAGATACTTGTGACTTGACTTGTGTTTAGACCAAATGACTTGTGACTTGACTTGTGACTGGACCTAATGACTTATGACTTGACTTGTTACTGGACCTAATGACTTGTGACTTGACTTGGACTTGCAAACAATGACTTGTGACTTGACTTGGACTTGCAAAAAATGACTTGCTGCCGCCTCTGTGTATTGACCAGATAAAGTATTGTCTGCAAGTGGCTGGCATTGTCAAACAGCTGTGGCTACTGTGTGGCTGTTGATTGTTGTATTGACCTGATAAAGTATTGTCTGCAAGTGGCTGGCATTGTCAAACAGCTGTGGCTACTGTGTGGCTGTTGATTGTTGTATTGACCTGATAAAGTATTGTCTGCAAGTGGCTGGCATTGTCAAACAGCTGTGGCTACTGTGTGGCTGTTGATTGTTGTATGGACCTGATAAAGTATTGTCTGCAAGTGGCTGGTATTGTCAAACTGCTGTGGCTACTGCACAGCGAAAAATGCCTTACATGAATTGACACGGAGCGGCCTTGAGAGGGCGGCACAGCTACCTTATTATATGACGTCATCCCGCTGACCATAAAAGGCAAATTTCATGAATGAAACTGTTGCGCATGCGCACATACGTAGCGTCGGTAACTCGAGTCGTTTCCACTTTGACAGAGCTGACAACGACCTTTCATTTGGTACCGAAATCGTTCGAATTAGTACTTTCCTTCGTTATTTTATTCCCTATTTTTGATGTCAACCTGAGGCTCAAACCCTTGCGGATCTCTGGGTGGTATTTTGAGTTTGGTAAGTCATATTTTTGTTACCAGTTTAGTGTGAAACCGCACCACGGGCAGAAGGTGTTGGTTGTGTATTAGAGAATCATTGTCAACGTGTTTTGTGTGTGTGGGATGAGTGTATTGAGTGCGCCGCGCGAATATGCATGAAATCGCATGCTCGCTGGGAGGTTGATCCGCACGTCGCACGGCCATCCGTGCGTGGTCATGGCATGACGTCATTGACGTACGTACGCGTGAATACGACCTGACCACAAAGCGAGTTTCCGCAGGGGGCCGAGATGGGCGGCGCAGGCATGCATGCGTGCGGCCGTTTAGCTAGCATTGCTTTTTCGACATGTTCGAGCATTGAGCAATTTGCAATGCAAAATGGGCGATGAAATTTTTGAAAATGCAAGAAATCTGCCTATGTAGGAATGGTAATGGAGTGACTGTGTAGGTTGGCTGGGTGTGATTCAGATTTAGGCCCGAAACTTCTTTGAATTATAACAATTACAATTACATTAACTTTGTTTGAAATCACCAACTTTAAAAGGAATTTATAAATTAGAGTATGATGTAGGGCTAGATAGCAAAAAAGGGAAAAAATGTTGCAACCTAACGCCACTTTTTTCTTCATATATCATCTCAATGAAGGTCATTCATTGCAGAAATTATGATAAGACATGAATCTGGGACTGAGAAATATTTCCAATTTTGTTAAGAAATACAGAAAGAATGTTGTAACCTGACGCCCCTTTTTTTCTTCATCATCTCAATAAAGGCAAAAACGACATGATAAAACATCTGGGACTGAGAAATATATCCAATAATGTAAGGAAATACTGAAAAAATGTTCGTGACTCTCCATGTACACATCGCGGAAGTGGCGTCATCTCAGGTTGCAACATTTTTTTTCCCAATAATGGGAAATCATCATATTTTATAACGGATTTGGACCTTAAAAAATAATTAACATTTTTTTGTCATACATGTATTTTTTTTTAAGTATTCCATTTTGGGAGAAAAATGTGCAACCTGACACCACTTAAATTCTGTGATTGTTCAACGTCTAAGGAGAGTCAATAAAATTTTCCCAAGTATTTCCTAACAAATTTGAAATGTTTTTCAAGTCCTAGATTAAGATTCATGCCTTATCATGATTTTTTTATTTTATGAAGTGCTGTTAAAGGGAATGTACATCATTGGCTTTTGCTGTAATTTTCAGAAATGAACTATTTGGGGGGTTAGTATAATAGATCAAATATTGTTACACTGACATGTTTGAAGTTTTATGTTCGAAAATGCTGGAAAAACCAAGAAAAACAAAAATATTCAAGTAGTCTGGTTCCCTGACTCCACTAAAGATGAAATGGATCAAACATACCAGAACATTGTAAGGTAATCCTAGTAAGGTATTTCGGAACAACTTGGTAGTTTTATTTTTCGATGTTTGCAAATGTTGTATTTTCACTTTAATAATAATAAAGCAGTGACCGCTGCTGGTGCATTATGCGCTTGGGCAATGGGCCCTTTTTATGTGATTGCCATTGAACAGCTCAGAAATAGTACAATTTTAGAAAACTATCAGTTGAATTACAAAATACTGAATAGATGTTGCAACCTGAAGAAGTTTGCGGGATTGTGTACCAAGTCTACGAACAAAATTCGAAATGTTTTTCAGTCCCAGATTTTTGTCTTATCATCATTTTGGTAGTGAACGACCTTTATTGAGATGATGAAGAAAAAGTGGTGTCGGGGTCAGGTTGCAACATTTATTTCCTAAAGTACATTTTTAGGGTGTATGCACCAATTTTAAGGTCTACAGTATTTTTTATAAGTGGCTAAATTGAAGATATCTAAAGATTTGAATTGTTCCAGTCGTTGTTCAGTATGTATGCAAAAATGTTCAGTGGCCTAGATGTACGTTTTCTCTTAACATCATTTGCCTCATATGTCTTTCAGGTAGGAAATGGAGGGGCACATCAATGCCTTGGCTATGATGTGTAGGATCTGCGGCCAGATCATCACCTCAGCCAAAAACAAGTCAAGCTCGGCAAAGTACAAGACACAGCTCCTTGCTGTGTACAACCTCAATTTAGATGAGGAGCAGGGCGGCATCCATCCACCATCTGTGTGCAACAAATGCAGGTGATTGTCAGCTGATATATTTCTAAGCTTAGCTATACATTTTTTTTAATTCCATAAACATTATTATTATCACTCAAGTCTTAATATCACGTAATTTTTTTTTTATGCTTGCTTTTTGGCTTGGCAAGCAGAGACAATCTAGATATTAATCACATCAAAATATTATTGGAACCTAAAAATGAAGTGTTGTGCATGGCCAGAGTTCCTTTAACTTAAAAAAAAATGAATAGTGAGTACTTGAAAATATTCCCCCTTACCAGTCATGTGGTTGCGAAAGGGCGATTTCTAAAGGTTACGTAACACTTTATTTTGAATGAAACTACATGTACACACATGGCAAAATCCTTGAAAATTAATTTTTCCCTTTGGAAGACCATATCTTTCATGCAAATTTCAGGCTTTAGTTCCCTTATAATGATCCACGTATGTGCTAAAACTTGTTGTGATATGTTCTTTACTTTTCATTGAATTGGAAAAATAGGCCTGGCTATGTGCATACTTGAAAGATGGAACACTGTTGTTAGCAATGTTACAGCGTTAGTACGTTATCGGAATAGCTTTACTTGACAACCAGCCACGCTTCATCCTCGCAACCATATGGCTGTTATGAGCAAGGATGATATTCTCCAAACTTTTTCATTAATTTTTATGAGTGACACACTGCAGGGCATAAATAAGGGAATAAATGTGTGCTTCGGAGGTTTTTATCACTCTGTTTAAGACCACTTAGAATCTGGGTGCTGATAATTACCCGAGCTGGAGGCAAGGGTAATTATCAGCACCCAGACCCTAAGTGGTCTTAAACAGAGTGATAAATACCGACGGAGCACATATTTATTCCCATTCATTAATACCTTTTCGGTAAGAAAAAATCATATAATTCGTTCAAAACATCCCGATTTTGTGCAACAAATTCACTTTATGCTTTTTGAAACATCCCTCTTGCAAAATAATGGAGTGTTCAGCTGGCGAGTAAGATGTAAACAACCCTTTTATGGGGATTGACGCGCGCGTATCATGTTCTGCGCGATGTCGCGCAGAACGCACCTGGCTTGTTGCGTTTTGAATTTAGAACTTTAAAATTCTGACTCCCTGGTAGTGTTGCGCATGCCTACGTGAGGATTGTGAACGTTCAACTAATGAAATGATAAGAGGCACTGGATTTTTAGGAGTCCACATTTTATTGTGACACTGGAAAAGTGTTTAAGACCAGCTAGCCATGTCTTTATCATCCGTTTAAGACCGGCCACGTGACGGGCTCTCGACCAATAGGAATGCGTAAACTGTCTTAGGTATTTATGAATACTTAATTAAAAAAAATTTTTTATTGCTTCCTATTATACAGGCAAAACGTGCAACGTGCACATAGTTCAATGGAGCAAGGCAAGCAGTGTCAGGGCAAACTTCCGCAGATCCAGAATTTCTCTGCTCATGATGCTGCTTGCTGGGTGTGCAGTGCTTATACTGCTCATGTGGCACTGCTCATGTTTTGTCTCAGGAATTTAAAGTGTTATGGGGTGTACCCCAAGGCTCTTGCTTGGGACCCCTTTTGTTCACCCTGTACACCAGTAGATTGTTTCAAGAAATCCAACGGAAGTCTCCTGAAATTTCCTGTCATTGCTACGCAGATGACACTCAACTATATATATCATTTTCGCCAAGTCAAGTTAATGAAAACAATTCTGTCTTAGCATTAGAAGAATGCATAATGCATGTTTATACTTGGTTGTTATTGAATAATCTTTTGTTGAACGATAAGAAAACTGAATTTCTGATATGTGGTACTCCTAGGCAAACATCAAAGTTACAAATAGAGAGTATCAAGGTCGTTACGTCACAAATATCACCCTCCACCTCAGTAAGGAATTTAGGCATTTGGTTGGATTCACACTTGACATTTGATAAGCATATTTCTGAAGTTTGTAAAAATGCATTTTACTATCTGTTTAATATCCGGCATATCCGTAAATACTTAAATTGTGGTTGTACAGAAAAAATTATTCATGCCTTCGTGACTAGCAGGTTAGATTATTGTAACAGCTTATTCTTTGGTTTGCCTGACACTCAGATTAACAGATTGCAAAGGGTTCAGAATGCTTGTGCTAGATTAATCTGTAATTCCTCCAGATATTCTCGATGCAGTCCATTGTTACATGATTTACATTGGTTACCCATTCGACAAAGAATAGCATTTAAAATTCTTTTAACAACTTATAAAGCCATTAATGGTATAGCACCAATGTACATTCAGGAGCTCATAACCATGAAATCACTCTCTCAAACAACCTATTGTCTCAGGAGTTCGCAAGACCACACATTGTTGGCTTACCCTTCAAGAACATCAAAGGCTACCCTCGGTGATCGGGCATTTGTGCACGCTGCTCCTACACTATGGAATAATCTCCCTCCTTGTATCAGACAATCTTCTTCACTTAATGTATTTAAGTCCAGGTTAAAAACACATTTATTTCACTATTAAGTATTTCTAGTATTTTGTATTTTTCTGCATTTCTGTTTGTTTTTTGTAATGCGCAGAAGAGTATATCCATATAGGTTATGCGCAATATAAATGTCCTTTATTATTATAACTCCGCCCTCAGTTCGCAGCACACCAGTCCTCATCTAGCGACCAACCAGACCAACCAGAATCCCAACCGTCAACCAGCGCACAAGACCCAGCATCTTCTCAGGCAAGCCTGTCAACAGCCACTAGGACCCTTTTTGGGGATACAGCTCCGGACCCCGGCATGGCATCACACGGAAAGAAACGTGTATGGAATGTCAAGGCCAGCTTGAATCATGTCAGGCGGGATTATGCCCGTAAGCGGACCAAAGAGGCATCTGCATGTCTTCATCAGCGACTTTTGCGAGAGGCAGAAAGAGGACAAGCTTGACCTCCTCTACTTCTTGCTTTGCGACAATCTAAACGAATGTGGTGACTCCAGGTATAAAGAGGTAATTATGAATTTTATTTGGAATGTATTCATTTGCTGTTGTTGGTACAGGGTTCTTCAAACGCAGTGGCACACTGGGTGGGGGGGGGGGGGAATTGAGCGCCCCTCCCCCAAGAGGTTGTCAATTTTTGTGTGTTTTTTAAAGTTCCATGAATTGACCTTGGTAATATGAATTTGGCCTATTTTTAGAGAAGTTTAATAGGGGGGTAAGTGGTGCCACCAACGTCAAAATATCCTCCCGCCCGCCCGCCAAAAAAATTAAAATTCCCCCCCCCCAAAAAAATGTTTCATAAATATATGTAAAGTTGTTGAAATCCTGTTTCCTCTGATTAATGCCAGGGGTGTTTTGGGAAATGTTTAGGGGGTGGTTATTATTATAATAATACCCAGTAGGATATTATAATACACATCTGACTTGTGCAAGTTGGACACCTTTCCCAAAATATTTTCAGGTGCCACCTCTCTTCAAACCCTAACTCCCTAGGGGGTGTGCAAAATCATATTGAAATTGGAGGATTCAGGACTGTTCAGGTTAGGTACTTCTCTAGAGCTATACAATGTGTACAATCTATTTGTCATGTTGCGTGCTTGGACTAGTCAGTCAGGCTCCCACCATATGTCACTTCACTGCTACCCTACATCTACAAATGAATTTTAATTTCAATGTGTATTTTCCTTATTCCAATAGGTTTTGGCATCCTGGAGCAAGGAAAGCGTGTAGCTCACGGCTGAAGATTGCCTTGCCATGAGAGTCACAACAAAGACATCAAAAACACATTATGAGGCTCAATATAGAAAGTTCAAGGCGAAGGGCACCAACATTCTCAAGCCACCGCACATTCTCACCGAGTTGCAAAAGGATTTTATGCCCGGTAGTGTAAGGTTTCGGCTGGAGGGAGGCACAGACATCATTCATCACACCCCAGTCAAGGCAGGACAGTCTCATGTAGAGTATGGGGAGCTGTCCTTCGAGCTCCAGGATGTGAATAGAGAGGACCACCCAGGATTGGAGACCCCCTTCCCCAACATGAAAGGCGTGGCTTGGCCTTATGCACACGCTCTTGCCAAGACCCTGGAAGAGTTGGATGCAGAGATCGTCATGGGCTTGCAGAAGGCGGGACTTGATCCTGATGACGATCTCTGCATTCTTACTACTATCAAAGATGGCGCCGTCGGGATGGGGGACATCTCCGTGACCAAAGCTGCGAGGGATCGTCTCTTGCCAGACAAGGCCTTCCGGGCAGCTTTTGCAGTAATAAAGTGCGAGGTAAACAGGGACGGGGAGAAGGTGATGGTGTACGAGCCAGATGCTCCAGACAATAGAGCGTCGGCCACTGTCCTCCTTGACGGCATGGAACATGACCGACAGGTGCTATGAGGGAAGGAGATGTCTATAAATGTAGGTCCTGTGTGGAGACGGCATAAATTGAAATTCTTCAATTCCATGATTGATGAAAAACTAGACCGAGCTAATGGGGGTCTCCAGGGCAGTGGTTCACGCTTTGTGTGCACTCTGTGCCATGCAACAAAGGAATCTGCAAAAACTGATTTGGGCACCTTCACTTCAGCGTATCTCGATCATATGAGGAAACAACCTCGACTGCAAAGTATATCCAAGTAAACCCGGGCAATCTCTCAGCAGCAGAACTCACAGAAGTATCAAGGGGGTAAAATCACATCCAATATTGCAATCGGACCCAAAGGACAAACTAATCGATGCCACCCATACAGATATTAACATGGGAAACTTTTTCAAGAAGTTGATCATCTGTGAAGTTGCCAGGGTCCAAAGCTGGGACATATCCAAAGATGTAAGGCCGATGTACGAAGCTGCCGAGAAACGCCTCAATGACCACCTAACGGAAACCATCGGCTTAGTGCCAAAAGTAATGATGCCAGGGAACTTTGCCCGGGATTTGTTTTCGTCAGCAAAAGTTGATTTCTTTCTTGCACTCGTGCCAGAAGAAGACAGAAAAAACAACCTGGCAAAAGTTGATTTCTTTCTTGCACTCGTGCCAGAAGAAGACAGAAAAAACAACCTGGCGGAAGTTTTGGGCATCTTCAGAAATCTTCGAACAGTGTATCGGGCTCATCACCCTGAAGCAGAAGACGTCAGCACCTTCAAACAACGTGCAGTGGAGATGGGGCGTCTTCTGCTGACCAACTTTTCTTATGCTGGGTGGCCCAATTATCTTCACAAGATAATTGAGCATGTGCAGGAAATCATCGAGGATCCCGAGGGGCCTGGCACAATTGGCAGCTTAAGCGGAGAAGGAAATGAGGCAGCGAACAAGTTGTTCAGAGATCTGCGTGGCCACTTTGCCAGGAAGCATGATGAAGCTCAGGCCCTCAGAGACATCATATGGTTCTACTGGCTGTATATTAGCCCAAAGCTGAGGAGAATCAGCCATGTAAAAGCCAGGACATATCAGTGTTCGAAATGTAAAGAGCTTGGTCATAATGTCAGAAGTTGTCCAAATTAAATATTTTGTAATGGTGATACAGTTCAAATTTTGTCATATACATGTACATTGTACATGTATATGAAACATAAAACACAAATACATGTACTTTAGGTTAAGTGGATAAGCGGCTTTACTTCTGATATAGTTTCAAGCGTATTATTTTAATTTGATTCTCTCTTTGTAGGGGGAAAAATCATATTAATCTGTATCTATTGGACACATTGATTTGTGATCAATAACTTTTTATACATGGACAAAGTGTTCAACAACTGCTCATGGTTCACAATTTTGATTATCATTTCGTTATAACACGTTGCAAACCAAATGTTGCATACAAGAGTTTTAATAAGCGTATTTACAATTTTTTTGTCATAAAGGGAAAATATTTTTCTTAGGAACTTGAGTACATGTATTTGCATGAAGAACTTTTTCTGTAAATCAGGGTAACAAGAATATTCAATCTAAATCAGATTTTCGCACCCCCAAATTTCACCAGCATTGTATTTTATACTCAACCAAAAAAGAAACTGGCCCTTCCAATACTTTTTAGTCTAACTCAATAACTACTGAGCGCCTCTTGCTCAAAAAAAACCCCCAAAACAACTAATCAGTACAGAAATTCCTTAGCAATCCAGACATACTCTTTTTTTGGCCCAAAACAGTGATAATGTGTACAAAATTATGCAATTTATGACTGATTGTGCCAAACAAAACGAGCACTTTTGCACGCATGCAAGGTGAGTTTGAACCACAACTTTCATGTATACAAATGTGCAACTGTTTTCAGTATCATTTGTCAGAAATTGCATAAATTTGTACACATTTCACTATTTTGGGCCAAACAAAGAGTATGGCTGGATTGCTATGGAATTTCTTATACTGATTAGTCGTTACTTGAGCAAGAGACACTCGGTTGTTTTTTGAGTAAGACAAAAAAGTTTTAGAAGGGGGATTTCCGTTTTGGTTGAGTATTATTTTTTTTAAACTTCTTGCATGTAATGCGGTGGGGAGTTTATTGAGCCTTATCTTAATTAGGTTTGAACCTGCCATTGTTTGCCGGAATCCCGCTGGGTGGGAAGGGGGCTGTTTATTGAGGCAGGAAATCATGTTGCTGTCAAACACACATGTACTTCCAATCTTGACAGGCTATGAATTGGAGGACAACATCTAACTAATTAAAATACACTCCAAGTCATTGCATCAACCTCGTAGAGATTCGGAAGATGGCGTTTTAGCTTTCCTCATTTATTGTTGGTTAAATTTCAGTCTTAATTATTCAGGTCAACGGTAAAAACCACAAGAACAATGGCAGATACACATACGAAGAACGGGCTGAAAGGTTTATTGAAATAAACTCAAATTTAGTTACAACAATGCACGTGGTAAAAGTGAAGCCCTGGGAATTGACAAGGAAATCACTATTAAATAATAACATGAAAAATATAAACAAGTTTATAGGGACCAATATGTTTTTCAATTTGTATAAAATAACCAAAACCAACCAAGTTGTTACAACTTTTATAAAAATAAATGATATTATATAAAGTCTGCTTGGATGCAGAAGTAGATTTTTTAAATGCAGCTCACAAGATATAAAGGTTTTATATGTGTACATGTATAATAAAAACGAACATAGGCCACACTTTTCTGTGCCCCAAGGAAAATTGAGGAGCTTTAAACAGGAGTCTCGATGTCATTTTCCCTTTCACATTTGGGCTAATTGTGGTTTGATTATAGGTTACGGGTTATACATATAAAACAAATTTTTTTTTTGGACATGTACAAAGTTAACGTGAAAGGCATGTGTCCTTGCATTCTTGTAGATGCCGAGCCTGCGACGACGATAAAACACTGCACACAGCGACAGAAAATTAACGCGTACATGTACATAGTACCATACCGCGCAAACACGTGCATGTACACTTTCCAGCTAAAGCAAAGGTCACAAGGTCAGCACGCTTGACAGTGCGGCTCCGGAATGCACCACCGGTACGTGCCCGCAATGGCCGTACGTGCGTGCGTGAACGAGTTGGTGTTTACTTCCTGACATGTGGTTTCTGTGACGTCACAAGCCCAGCCGAGTGCGCCGACCAATGAGCGCCGCGCTTGTCTGCCCACGGCACTGTTCCATCCGTGTTACACTACCAATGGGGAATTTTTCGCTGTGTACTGTGTGGTTGTTGATTGTTGTATTGACCTGATAAAGTATTGTCTGGTATTGTCAAACAGCTAGTGGCTACTGTGTGGTTGTTGATTGTTGTATTGACCTGATAAAGTATTGTCTGCAAGTGGCTGGCATTGTCAAACAGCTGTGGCTACTGTGTGGCTGTTGATTGCTGTATTGACCTGATAAAGTATTGTCTGCAAGTGGCTGGCATTGTCAAACAGCTGTGGCTACTGTGTGGCTGTTGATTGTTGTATTGACCTGATAAAGTATTGTCTGCAAGTGGCTGGCAATGTCAAACAGCTGTGGCTACTGTGTGGCTGTTGATTGTTGTATTGACCTGATAAAGTATTGTCTGCAAGTGGCAGGCATTGTCAAACAGCTGTGGCTACTGTGTGGCTGTTGATTGTTGTATTGACCTGATAAAGTATTGTCTGCAAGTGGCTGGCAATGTCAAACAGCTGTGGCTACTGTGTGGCTGTTGATTGTTGTATTGACCTGATAAAGTATTGTCTGCAAGTGGCTGGCATTGTCAAACACTGATTCGAAAGGAGATGTAGAGGGAACACTTCAAGTAGGACACAAGAGCGCACTATTTAAATAGAAATATGCCATTTTCATTACTGACGGCTCAAAATCCCTATACCGAACGATTGTGTGATAAACTCACAATGAAATGTTTGAGGGTCAAATTGTCTTCATTACATGTCGTGCAAAATTTGACTACGAGCTTTCCTTCCTTGTTCATTCCTGTAGGACTTCAGCTTCACTGGTTCCTACCCTACTTCTTCAGGGCGCCAGCACCAGAGGACTCCATCGTTGCCTACTGAGCGCAGACCTTACCGATGAGAAGGCCAATCAGATCATTGCATCAGTCGGCATCCCTTACGCTCATCTCAAGTCACTCCAGATCACACTGTCAAACAAGTTGAAGGAGCACACTGTGAGGGCTGAGAAACAATCAACCTCCTTGCCTTGGTGAGTTATCAAACACAGACGATCCCAAAACATTTCAATTGTCTTCCACTTTGCTTTTTTCAGACCTTCATTTTGAGAGAACACTACCCTCACCCTCCAACATTTGGGTTTTAATTATAAAGCTCTACATGTACATTTCTGTTGTGGCTGTGAAAACTCACACTTTGGTCTAATAGTTGCATACCGAAATAATATATGGGGCATTTATGCAAAAAGAGAAACAGAATTGGGCGCAAGCCGTAGGCCTACAAAAATTGTCGGTCTCTGGTCAGACCAAAGTTCTGCGGATTTTTTTAAAAATTATTTGCTATTTTTTTTCCCAAGCTTGGATTGTACAGACAAAGTGGGTACTGTTTTGCTTGTTTGTGTTCTCATATGGTGTTACATCATTTGCCTTGGTGCCCCTTGGTACAAAAATTTGAGGCGGTGCAGCAAGAAAGGGTGCTGTTGTTGTAGCTACCTTGGAAAATTTCTAAGACAAAAGAGATTGACGTGCATGGTCAAAATCGACGTACGACTGTTTTTTTTGCCTAATGGAGAATAACCTTTGATATGTCACATACTACTTATATTTGAAGGAAATAGTATAAGAAATAGAGGGCAAGGCGTTTTGTTGAGTTACAAATGCAGAATAGTCGGGCCGACAACTATTTCATTAGACACAGCCCAGTTAAGTTTTGAAATAAATAAGTTTATGTCGGAACAAAGATCACAAAAAATTTAACCTTTCCAGTACATCCAATGATTTTGTTTAAAACAAAAATGTGTCAA